CCGTCATACCGTTGACGAGAGTGTATAACTGTGCGCCATCGTCTACGGTAGACACACCGTGGATCAGGGTCGACGCCCGGTGTCTTGCAGTCAGCATACGGCGTCGCCGTCGCCTCTGTACTGAGGTTCTATGTCTCGGTGAGACCAGGGTGAACACACACTCCGCGTCGTACGGTGTCACCCTCACTTTCCGCTCGTTTGAAGCTCCGATGTTATCTACAATATCCGACCAAGAGCTGCTAACCCCGCAGTCTACGTCCAGTGGATAACATGCCACTCCACGCGTATCTGAAGGGCTGTGCCTAAGATGCCTCGGACTCTGTCCGACCACGCCATCATTGACATACAGCGACTGCTTTGAAACTTGAGCAGCGTTTAGTGCTTTGCGTGCCACTCCACGATCAGCCCGCGAGCCACGCTCGGCACTCTTTTTTTAATGCACCGTTGGTGTCTACCAACTCGGACATTCCAATGTCCAGCACGTTGACCGTCTCGGTGCAGTACTCTCGCCAATAGCGACAGCAGAGGTGGGATTTTTACGCGCCAAAGCTCCACCAGGAGACGTGCGTGTAGCCCCAAGGTCTTTGACCTTCAATTAATCCATGGCTCAAGGTGTTCCAACCATGCCATCCCTAGGATGAGGTCATACTTTGCATTCAAGCCTTAGACTAGACAGCGTTCCAAGCTACCAAAGTCAAGGAACTTGACTTCGAGGTCCACAGGGACCTTCGGGACCGTGACAAGTGTCCCCGTCGCTAAGCGAACAGTGACGATGTCACATAACCGTGCTTTCAGCGCCTCAGCATACAGCTGACTTCCTTCCATCGGGGAGTGTCGAGAATAATTGCCCGACGCCCCGAAATCGATGAGGAAATTCCATGGCTTCTCGAAAACATTTACGGTCGCCACCACGACCAGCAAGCCCGGCTTGCATACACGTTCAGTGTTCAAGAGCACGGAGCTCTTTCAGGGCTGGGCCCTGATGACATCTACCCCCCTCAGGCTCAGCAAAACTCAGTTATTCGCCAGTAGGTCGCCCCGCGCCTACTGGGTGGTATCGTTTCCCCGCGACGAACCAGACTGGTAGGCATTGGGGCGACGGTGCGAAAAACCTTGACGCGCTTTGCGCAGGGGGCAACCGTTCCGAAGGTGACGGGTGCCTCCACAGACAGAACACCGTCGTATTTTTGTGTACTGCTCGGCAGCTCGGAGTTCTGCTCCCTCGTCCTCAGCATAGTTGAGATCCATGGGGACAGACCCGCTCGACGAGCTGTTGGAGTGTGCATTCCAGCCAAGTCGTGCCGACTTGAAATTGAATTCGGCATTCAATACCACATTTACCGCTTCTTCAAATGAAGACGGATGCACAGGGAAGACTTCCATTCTGGCCACGCCAGTGCGGAGGCCTTTCATGAAGACAGTCACTGTGACCACCTCCGGAAGGGGATCTGGTGCCATCCCGGCAATGAGAGTGCA